ATCAAGCAAATCATTTCCCTTCCTTTGCCCACAGCCCTGGAGTCACCTGCGCATCCACCCCGCCTCCCTCTCAGTCCCACGGTCTGGCCTTCAGGGTGAAGCATGCCCCGCAGGTCTGTGCCAATCAGCATGCGTATTCCCTGGCCACAGCACATGGTTTAGGGAATAAATATGATCTAGCCTATTTAATCATAATGGATCTCAGAGCTTCTGGACAAGACTACGGCTCTAGGACAGGGCTGGAGGAGGAGGGAAGTGAAGAGCAGGTGGAGGGGTGGTGCTGCAGCAGTCTGGGTGGTTGGACCACCACTGTTCACACTGCTAGGGGATGGGCACTCCTGGGAAGGGAGGGAGTGCAATGTGCTCACAGGAGATTCATCATTAATGTGATCCAGAGGATTAATGATGAAACCGGAAGGGCGTGAAGAAGAAGAAAAACCACTGATACTGTTAAACAAAACCCTACGAAAGCCAGCATTACATGATGCACAGTGCCTACTACACTTATCCATTCATTTATTCAATACTTGCAAGAACCCTAGAACTAATAGTCTAGTTAGTCTAGGGACTAACCCTAGAACCCTAGTTCCTGCTGGACTTGAACCTGGATGACACGAGTCTGGGGCTACTGCAGCTACCAGTACCTTGCCACCAGATCCTAGATCTGCCAGGGACCTCCTATGAAGTTTAAGAATGAATCCAACCCAGAGGTGGGTGGAGCCCAGAGAACGACTTATAACGATACTGCCTGAGCCCTCACCCCAGCTGGGTCTATCCTGAACTTCGCAGTGACACGAGCCAATACACTCCCCCTTAAGGTAAATTTGTCTGCATTTTCTGTAACTGGAACCAGGAGTCCTGACACACCACATTCATGCAGACAGCATCTGCCTGTGTGAATGAGGACAGGAGCATCTGGGTGAGGAGCGAGGGGGAGAGAACAGAGCACTGTCACTGGGACCACCCACTTAACAGAGACGGAATTTTCTAATGCAGATCCTCAAACTGGAGGGGAGGCAAAATTTAGCTCTGCCTGACGAATCATTCTAATTAACCAAATGTGTGAACATCTTATTCTGAAAAAGAAAAACAAAACAAAACAAAAAAAAAAAAAACAGAACATTTCCTAAGTCTGGATTTGCATGGCTGACGATTCCATCTCTCAGAAAGCTAAGAGGAAGTGCCAATCCGCCTTTATTCTGACCCAGAAGGTAGAACAAATTGTTTTTTTTTAAAGGAAGGAACCTTGGGAAAACATGATTATGGTATCTTAAGAGCTTATTAAGAGCATAGTAAGAGCAAATTTTAAAAGTTCAGAGAAAGTCTAGGGACAATACAAAATCTAGGACTTGAGACCCTGAAAGGGAAGGCGGACTAAAGAAGAGAAACAGAACGCTCCCACCACCAACACCTGAGAGTTAACTGTTAAAACCCCAGACAGGAAAAAGCAAGGGGCAGGGTGGGGCAGAAACAGGTTCACAGTTGTCTGTATGGAAAAGAATACAGTAATGAATAAATAATAATACCAGAATAAGCCGTGCTTCACTTACTCACAACCGTAACCCACTTTTGCCCACCCTGTGCACCCTGACGTCAAACACGCAAATCCACCCTGGACGGCTCGAGGCGGTCATTGCTGACCAGCCACAGTGCCTTTTCCCGGGAAGCTCAGTCTCATTCTCAAGCCATCTTTGACCCAGTGCCCTCGTTGGCCACGATGAACTGACCAAAGCTGAGACACAAGAATGAACCCATGTTCCACTGCTGGTCTGAAGAAGCTGGAGGGATGACACAGAGTGCTCCCAGCGTTCGTGCCATGAAAGGACGTTCACCAGAAATGAAGGTGGAGCACTCGATGGAGTGCAGACCCACAGTGCGACGGGCCCGCGTGAATGAAGGTGAGAAGGGTGAAATCCAGAACGTGCTAACCTTTGCACTTAAAGCAAAGCAAAACAAAAACTTTCTGTTTTTTGAAGACTTAAAATGAAGGAGGGGAGCCCTTAACAATATGGGACGTAGGTATCCCTGGATGGAGAGGACGACACAGCTTAAAAGCTGAATCCTTCGACTTCTGAATTCAGTCCCATGTCTTCATGAGGGAAAACGATCTGTGCATGAAAAGAACAATGTCGGAGAAGAAAGACTGAGAGTCCGGGATGGGGAGGAAGGCGAGAGAGGCCCAGGCTCCTGTGGCTGAGCTCCAGGCCCCCCAACACCCCGCCCCATCAGTACCCCAGGGCCCTGAGGGAACCTGGAGATGGGCTCAGGAAACCCCTTGGGTGACCTATGAGGAATCCAAGAGAACAAGGAAAATGCCAGAATATTGGAGACTGGCAAACAGCATCCTGATTTTCAAATGACAGGAGAAACAGATCCCATTAACCACAAGATTAGAGAGAGCCAGCTGCCTTCTCGGGGAGGCGGACCTCAGAGCGTGCAGGGAAGGACACACAAAGATGGCAGCAAACAACTCAGTGGGAAAAGGGACAGAGGACAGGCACAGGCAGTTCACTGAAGAGGAAACACAAGTGGCCAATAAAGAAGAAAAGATCCCCCAAGTCATGGAAACTCACATGAACATAATCAGATACTATTTCTCTATGCAGCAGCTCAGCAAAGTCGTTAAAAACTGTTAATGTCAAATATTGGCAAAGACACAAGGAAATAAGCACTCTCATTAGTGAAACGTAACAGCTTTCTTTAAATGGCAATTTGGTGATATTGATCAGAATTCAAAACATACTGTATTGCAGGGGAGGGGAGGGTGGAGGTGGAAGAGAGTATAATGGGGACAAATGGTAATGGAAAATTCAATTAAAAAAACTACTAAATGCCCTGGCTGGCATAGTTCAGTGGATTGAGAGTGGGCTGTGAACCGAAGAGTCGCAGGTTTGATTCCCAGTCAGGGTACATGCTTGGGTTGCAGGGCATGACCCCCAGCAACCGCACATTGATGTTTCTCTCTCTCTCTCTTTCTCCCTCCCTTCCCTCTCTAAAAGTAAATAAATAAAATCCTTAAAAAAAAGAGTTAAAAAACTACTAAAAGTAATTGAAAAGGTAAAAAATTAAATACACTGTATTTTGACCCAACAATCTGAAAGACTCACACATGCAGAGGCTTATAGAAAGTTTTTCATTACAGGACTATTTATAACAGTAAAAGATGAGAGAAAAACTATCCCAAGTTTAACATGTGCTTAAATACATTATGGTTCCATGACATACCATATAACAGTCAAAACTAAAGTCAATCCACATACAGATATAGACTGACTATCAAGATGTCATTATGCATGGGGGTGGGCAGGTCAGTGGACAGTAATAGGGGAAAAATGAGGGCAACTGTAATTGAAGAACAATAAAAAAAGATGTGATCATACATACTTTAAAGAAAGCTCAAAAGAAACCTATATATATATATCTATAAGTACATATATACAGGTATATATAAATAAAGAGTAGTTTAGTACAATAGGATACTCATTAATGTGGTAACAGAGACGACCATGGGAAGATTAAGGATATCTTTGGCTCTACGTTTTTGCATTTTTTAAATAATAAGAGGGCTTCATTTATTGTTTAGTTAAATATATATATATATATATATATATATTTAACCAACATATATAAAGCAAAAAGTAGGACACAGTGAGTGTTAGGGACCAGCACATGCACCAGGAGTAAGACGTGTCACCCCTTCTCCTGGGATGACCAGGGAAATGCCAGCGGCACTATGAACAGAGTGCCTGCAGGCTAATGGCAGAGCTTCCTATTATTAGCATGGACACAACAGAAAAACTCAGGCTGGGTGACAGCACTAGAAGGAGGTACAGTCAAACCTGACTGTAGTTAAGAATTACTGACTCCAAGCCGTGTGGAAACTTCCAGGGCAGTCTCTGGTCCTGTCCAACATATTCATTCATTCTCTCAGTCTGTCACTCATTTGACAGATACTTGTGAGCTACCATGTGTCAGTCATGCAGGAGACACCAAGTCAATCTCTGCCTGAAGCCTAGGATACCGAAAAGTAGAAGGGGAAAAACACCAACACCACAGCATGACAAATGCTCGACTGTGGCACTGCGGAAGCTCCAAGGTAGGGCCTGACCCCAACCTGGCCTCTTGAAGGAGGCCAGCCTCTACACCAAAGGTCTGTTCACCTAAAGAGAGAAAGCACGAAGCTAGAAAATGCCACTAATACCAAAAATCACATACACATGAACTGGAACAGGTTGCCATGCCAAAACACACCCTGTGAAATCCCTTTGTAGTCCCTTTTGCTTTGAGACCCCCCCCCAAAAAGAAGACCATTGTTGAAGAGGCCTCAGAACAGAGCAGGGTGTCTGGAGAGTGGAGAAGGGAGCCCGTGCCAGACGAGGACTGGCTAAGGGCACCCCCCGACTTCTCCAGGGCCACCCAGCCCTCTCCGAGCCCCTGACTCCAGTCCTTTCCTTTTCTCTCAGGGACTCCACTGCAGCCAACAGACTCGGGAATTTCAGGATTCCTGACTGTACTCTTGGTCTGCCCATCGGAGGGAAGGGGCAGCTGGGAGATGGCCCCCGGTCAGCTGCCGGCAGCAGAGTGGGTGGTCTGTGGCACACTTTCAATTTGCAAGCTGTTTCTTGCCCTCTTTCTCCTCCCGCAACTGGTGCCCCAAGGTTGTCCCTTCCATCACACATAAGAAAAGGAAAGAAGAAACAGACACCAAGTTCCAAGGCTGTGCATCCCAGGCAGTCAAGTCGCCCTCCCAGGCCTCTGTGTTTCCCTTTTTAATCACGGGAGTGGACTGGATGACTTTGCAGGGGACCTTCCAGCTGGGACAGATAGTATGTGCTGCATTTACCTCCCGGAAGAATTCATCGTTAACTCAGACTTCAAGGAGAGGGCAGTGCTTCACACAAGTGCACGAAGGGTGAAATGTGGGGCACTCGAGAGTTCTCGTTTGGGTCCCCAACCTAGTGTAGGGAGCACCCTGGCAGGGACCCTCCACCGGGACTGACCTCTTTAGTGACGACCGAGACAGCACCTGTGCAGCCTGGTTCATGGCCCTGATCCAAGCGTTCATGTCCTCCAGGGTGTCAGCACTGAAGTAGTAGGTCCTCATGCCCGACTGCTCGGTGGAGCTGTTATAGATGAGCGCTCGCATCCCCGCATGCACAGCCTGTGAGATGGAGACAGAACCCCAGGGTGGAGAGGTTAGCATGCATTTCACTTCCAGGGGAGAAAACAAGGAGACACTCCGGCCGTGTTCTCCCCTCTTCCAGACTAGAAGCCCAAGCACCACCCAGCCTGGGCCCGCAGCTGGAAAATGCCACAGCCAGATTCCCTTTCCTCAGCACAGGCAGGCCCACAGGGAAGCCCTGCAGGTGTTTACCTGTTTCTGACTTATCTTACTCACGCAGAGGGAGGGGGCACGCACCCCAGACTTTTGTGAGAAAGAGACTTTAAATAAACCCACCAAGCAGACTCTGGGGAATCCCTGTTTTGGTTCCTCTACAGCACACAATTACTGGAAATGAGTCAAAAATCAGCTGCGACAGCAGCAGGCAGCATGGTGCGGATACTCACTGTGCTTCAAGGTTCGCACCAAAATGTGCTGAGTGCGCATCAAAGAAGCCGCTGTCCTGTCTCTCCAAAGAGACACTGCCAAGTCTGACAGAGCTAATGTCTGCCTGAAAATCCTTGCACACCTACCATGTGCTGGGAAGCCTCAAGGTGCTTCCACATGTATCCTTGCAAAGAGCCTGTGGAGAGGCACTAGGAAGTCCACTGAAAAGCCCCTGGGATGGCTTCTAAACAAGAAGCAAAACCAGTGTTTTTCCTTGTGTTCTATAAGCAGGGGCCTGTCTTTCAAATTTGCAAGGAGAGCCCTGGCTGGTGTGGCTCAGTGGATTGAGCACTGGACTGTGAAGCAAAGGGTCACCGGTTCAATTCCCAGTCAGCGCCCATGCCTGGGTTGTGGGCCAAGTCCCCAGTAGGGAGCACTTGAGGGGCAGCCACAAATTGATGTTTTTCTCCCTCTATTTCTCTCCCCCTCCCCCTCTTTCTAAAAAATAAGTAAAATCTTTTAAAAAGTAAATAAATAAAATAAATTTGCAAGGAGAGCCTTACCAAATCTACATAGGAAGATGGTGCTAAAAAGTGGGGTGAGGAAGGTGGCAGGAGGGTTACTGAATGACTACCATGTGTCTCTAGGGTACTTTCATGAGTTTAATCTCATTTTAACTCCAATGGCTTTCAGATGTAGGGACAGAAACTCTGTTTTACAGATGTGGCAAATGAAGACCTGAGATGTTAAGTAATTTTCCCATATTTCCACATCCAGTAACAGATTGTTCACAGCACTTCGCATTATCTGCCATTATATACTTTAGAATGTAAGTGCCATGACGGCAGGGATTTTGTCTGTTTTGTTCATTACTGTATCCCCAGGAACAATGCCCGCATATAGTGGCTGCCAAGTAAACATTTGTTGAATGAATAAAGAGCTGGAGCCAGGATTTACACCCAGGTCTGTCTGACTCTGTACAATGCTCCCAGATCCTATAAAGAAAGGAGTATGATTATATACACACCCCTGGTTGGATCATCTAGATCCAGAATGAAAGGCAGGCCCTGGGCAAGGACCGGTCAGAGAATACAAAATGAAAGAACCAATTAGAAGCTGGAAAATGACATGCTTCTGGAATCACTAATAGTCAAAAATGAAACCTCTCAGATGAACTCTCTCGGCATCTACTTCCCCCATACTAACATCTAGTCCAAAATGCGCAGTGAGGATGCGCCTGTTTCTGACAGTCACATATCTGGGTGCTTCCATCTGGGCGCCAAGGGAGTGCAGGCAAACTTGACCTACAGAGAAGGGCCGCCACAGTGACGGAAGCAAACCTGGCTGCCCTTTTTGCACATCGAAGGGGACATCCCCTGCCCCAGGAAGGGTCCCTCCTATTTTAGCAAGGTGGAGACGTGGCAGTAGGAACAGAATAAGAAACTTGTGCGCATCTTACTGTGAATCAATAGAAATTCTTGGAAAAGTTCCCCTGGACAATGGCCCCACGAGACCTCTGACACCCTCTCCCAGACTTTCTGGCCAGGCCCTCGCCCCACCAGACACAAGGCCCCCACAAACAAAGGGAACCCTGAAGGACATGAGCGAGCAGGTCCCCACTATACAAGAGTTCCTGGAGCCAGCCCTGCCCGGGAAATCAACATGCGACATTCTGCAAACATGGACAGTTTGTTTGTCTGTCTGCAAATGGGCCGCGGGAGTTAGATCCGCATCATCGCAAAGGAGTTACATATGATCACAGACGTGACCTCACTCACCAATCAAACTGCCCTTGACTCTGAAGAGCAGGTTCCCAGCTACATTCTGTCTGTGCTTGGGCATATGAGATGCAGCAACTGAGAAGCCAAGATGTGCAGGGAGTTCCCTTTCCATCTGACCACGTGACCCAAGTCCAACGTGCCCTGAGCCGGAGGTAGAGGCCACAGCCAAGATGACACGAAGTCACATCTGGAAGATGCTCCCTTCCCCTCTGCTCTCTGCTTCCCAAAGAATACAATCCTGCTAGGCAGCTGTGCATGACTGAAGAGAGAGCAGGCTGAAGGAAATGAGGAGGACAGCAAAGAAGATTCGATGGGACAGACATAATGCCCCGAGGATATGACTGCTCCTCCGGCTCTAATGACTCAGGTCTCGACAGAAAAACACTAGTGAAGCGAGCGGAACGCTCCCACCTCGAGCCCCCAACGTCAGCCTGCAGCACAGACAGACCTAGCTGGGGAAACACAGGAGCACTCGAGAGGCCAGAGCCCATGCTTAAGTGACTGGTTCATTCTCTAACTTAGTCATTCAACAGTAATTTATCATTTATTCAGCTATACTAGAAGTTGAAGAAGCAGCCTTAAATAAGGCCAAGACAGTTTACAGCCACACAGAAGAGAAAGACCACAGACAAGCAACTACAACTGTAACTGCCATCAAGAGTTCCAGATGCCAGCCCTGGCTGGTGCAGCTCAGTGGATTGAGCTTGGGCTGCGAAGGTTGGTTTGATTCCAAGTAAGAGAGCACATGCCTGGGTTGTAGGCCAGGTCCCCAGTGGGGGCCACGTGAGAGGCAACCACACATTGATGTTTCTTTCCCTCTCTTTCTCCCCACCTTCCCCTCTCTCTAAAAATAAATAAAATCTTCTAAAAAAAAGTTCAGGTACCCTGGCCTGACCAGAAGAAGGACCTCCCTAAGGAAATGGCATTTAAGCTGCCTTCTACACTATAAGCACGTGCTTTAGTAGGAGTAGCACAGAGGGGATGTGTACTACCCCGAGATGGACAGGAGCACAGTGTGTTTCAAGGATGAGGCCAGCGTGACCAGCAGGGAGAAGGAACATGAAGTGAGGCTGCTGCAGTGCGCAGGGCCAGAACACTGGGGCATTGTGGTCACATCAGGGTCATCTCATTTATAAGAGCAGTGAGAAGCAATTAAATGGTTTAAGCTGGGGGAGGAGGGGTGATGTGGTCAGATTTCGTTTGGAAAAACTCTTGCGGCTGCAATATGGAGAAGAGGTTAGAGCTGGGCAGGGGCAGGAGAGGGGACAGGGTCAGGAGGCCACTGCGGGAGTGCATGTGGGAGATGGTGGCGGGCACAGAGAAGGAGAGGAGTGGACAGAGTCTGGAGAGGTAACGCCAGCAGGATCTGGGAATGGACTGGATAGGAAAGGTGAGAGCACACCTGCAGCAAGGACAAGCCTCGCAGGTGCATGACTTACAGAAACATGAGGCCCTTTTGTTGAGGTTAGGAAAGGAACTCCTCATGTCCCACCTTCGAGCTGACCAGCAGTGTGATCTGGGTGAGAGCTTGGGCTCTGGAGTCGGCCTGAGGCCCACGGGGTTTTCTGCCTCGTATCTCAGGGGAACCCTGGGCCCATCATTCACCTGCTCATGCCTCTGTTTTCTCATCTTGAAAATGAAACTGTGAGTACAGCAGTATTTACCTTGTGAGGCCAGGAGGGTTAAATGATGGCGCTTAGAGCACAGCCTGCCATGTGTAAGGCTAAAAAGAGGTTCATTGATGTTACTATAGGAGCAGTCGCTTGACAAACTGATAGTGGTTGACTGATGAGCTTTCTAGAAACTTTAGAAGACTCTTCTCTACCCTCTTTCCCAATCTCTCATTTATAAAGGACTAAACACAAATGGCAAAGAAGCCTTAACCCATCTTAGCTTGGGAAGTGAAAGCAGTGTCCCTGCCCAAGACTCCTGCTGCAGATGGTGGCTCCACATGGTCTCTGTCTGCAGAAGGGGACTCGCCCCGCCTACCTGGGCAGAACTACAGAACTCACTGAGGGGCGGGTTTTCCTGGGGAAAGCTCTGGACGGGCAATCAACCATCCACAGTGCAGTGATACAAGAGCTGTGGATGTAGAGGAGGAGGGTACCTAACCTGTCCAGAGGGCTCAGGGAAGGCTTCCCGCAGCGGGTGACTCCTGAACAGAGACCCGAAGGACAAGTAAGCTTTGAGGGAAGAGCATTGTGGGCTCTGGCTGAAGCTCAAGTGAAGGTCTATGGGCAAGGAATGTCCTGGGCCTTCAGGCAATTGCATATGGCCAGAGGGAAAGTATAAAATGGGAGTGGCTAAAAATGAGGCTGAAGAGAGAGGCTGGGGCTTTGCAAACCAAGACTGGGCTTTCCCCTGCAGGCAGTGGGGAGCACTGAACAGATGTGCAGTTTAGCAACACATGGAGGAGGGGCTGGAGACTGCAGGGAGTTCGAAGGCTGAAGCCAACACTATAGGCACTTGCTATGTGCCAGGCACTGTTCTAGCGGCAAGTTAGCTACCTGGGGAAGGGATGAGGGCCGCCGAGACAGAACAGGGGCGGCAGCAGCGGGGAGGAAGGGGTGGGTTTGAGACACAAGGAACAAAACTGAAGTGGGGGAGGAAAGGGGCAGCTTTCTGGTTCCCTTCTCATTCCCCAGCGACCCCCACTGATGCAGACGCTGCAGTGTCAGCCCCACGAAGGCAAGCACTTTGTCCTTTTCATTGTTGTAGCCCCAGGATCTACATCCGCCAAGTAAAACCACAGAACACAACAGAAGTTTGTCGAATATAAATAAGTGAACAACCTCACCTCCTGGCTGGCCTTCAGCCAGAATTTAGCAAGGGATCGCAATCTTTGGGGGGCATGAAACCCTGACAGTTTGGTGATTCCCATGAACTTTTCTCAGAATGTTTTTAAGGGGACACATAAAGGATATATATTGAAATGTTTATCAAAATATTTTTAAATATTGTGAGATAGTGATATAGGAGCTTCTTTAATAATGCATTATAAGGCCCTGGCTGGTGTGGCTCAGTGGATTGAGTACTATCCTGCAAACCAAAAGGTCCCAGGTTTGACTCCCAGTCAGGGCACATGCCCGGGTTGCAGGCCAGGTCCCCACTGCAGGGCATACAAGAAGCAACCACAAATTGATGTTTCTCTCCCTTTCTTTTTCCCTCCCTACCCTCTCTCTAAGTAGTAAATAAAACCTTTTAAAAATAACACATTAGAAGACAAACATAGTAATAATTATTGTAATTCAAAGTGGGGGTGCTCATAAATGATATTTCAAGGTATTTATAACAATTGTAATATGATGTGAGGATATCTGTGGTTTCTATTGGCAACCAAGATGCAGGTACAGCTAATACCTGTTAAGCCCTGCTTTCTTAATCAAAGGAAATGTTATAGGTTAAAAAAAGGAAAGATATGAATTATCCCCTGACACTAGGGGGTCTGCAGGCTCAGGTCTGGACCCCTTGATCTTGAGAGAGGGAGAATGGTTCAGAGTGGGGGGGCAGTAAAGGCATTTTCCCCACTGAAGGCCTGTGGATCCTTGACTGAGTGGGGCTCCAGGTCCTGGATCCGGAGGGCCAAGCTTGCTCAGAGGTGACCAATAGGCGGATGGTGGCTGTGCATTCAATAGGAGATCTCTAGGGGCAGGGGTCGGGGGACACCCAGCTGAGCCAGCAGCACAGGGCAGAACCCCTCACAGAGCCCAGCCTGGCACATCCTGCAGACCCGGCTGTGCTTCGGGTGCATCTAGCCCCCGGCCTCCCTGGTCATGCGTAGGGGCTGCCTGGCTGCAGGCACAGTTGGGGAAAAAAAGACCAGGAGAGGGCCACATAACCTTTCAGGCTGCACCTACATCTATCATTACAGATAATGCTGAGTGATCTCGAGCAGGGTGCCCTAGCAACAGTCAGATAATTTCAGCTCAGGAAACAGAGAACTGACATCAGAAACAGGCACAAGGCCCAGGACACAGAACACTGTGCGTTCCTCAGTGCGCCTAAGAACACAGTCCTGAACTCCCCAGGGGGTCCGCTCTCTGGCCCCTAAAAGAATGATGCTGCAGCCCAAAGGGAAAGGGCACCCTGTCACCCTCAGAAAACCACAGCCCTTTCTGGAGAACCAGCTGAACGCCACCAGTTCCGTCTGCTGTGGCTTTTCTCTGCTCCCAGACCCAAAGGTCTCCCCTACAGGTCCCCGCAAACCCATGCATGCCTTCTGTCTCGCAGACAAAAGACTTAGGCAACACTCTTAGTGAAGTCTAGGGAAAAAAATTTACAGAATCTACGACACATAAAAGATGTTTTCCTAGAATCTATTTTCACAGCTTCCAATAAAAGTGTTAAGATGAAATATATATATAGTTTGATCAGTTACTTTGAGAATAATAGTCTAGATGCTGTCCCAAAATAACCACGCACAGCCTCGTCACCCAGACTATTGCCCCAACAGCAACATGTGACTCTAGAAAGGAGGGTTTTCTGAGGGAAGACTTTCAGGCTGCAGAAGAGCAGTCTGAAACCCACTGAACAAAACATTTTCAGAGCCAGCAAGAGGCAGGAGAGGCTCCTGAACTATTAAATAAAACAGTATTGCTAAATGGTAACAACAAACATTAGTTCAAAGCACCTCCCACCCCCGACAATGTATGTGCAGGAGGTGACCGATGTGGAAGAAAAGCGTGAAGAGAAGAAATTGTCTTCCCTCCCAGTAACTCAAAACTGAAAGAGGCTGTATGTAGCCCTGGCTGGTGTGGCCCAGTGGATTGAGTGCCGGCCTGAGAACCAAAAGGTCGCTGGTTCGATTCCCAGTCAGGGCACATGCCTGGGTTGCTGGCCAGGTCCTGGGTAGGGGGCGTGTGAGAGGCAACCACATATTGATGTTTCTCTTCCTCTCTTTCTCCTCCCTTCCCCTCTCTCTGAAAGTAAATAAATAAAATCTTCAAAAAGAAAGAAAGAGGGAGGATGTAGCTCTGGTTTGAGTTCTGCCTCCATCATCTTCCAGCTCAGTGACTTTGGGCAAGCTTCCTTAGCACTCGGATCCTCGTGTTCCTCATCTATAAAGTGAAGCTAATAATACCGACCTCACAGGCTCCCACAGCGTGAAGCGAGCTAACATGGGTAAAAGTAATTCTCAAATCATAGAAGGCTCTGCAGATACAGGACAGTACTCTATCGTGCAACAGGAAGTGGGAAAGGATCCAAGAATGTTCAACCTGCTGCTATTCTGGAGTCACTGGGGAGAGGGACAGTCCGAGGAAGAGGAAAGACAGCGCCCACCTGTCGATGCAAAAAGCTGAAGCCTCGGCTCAGGAAGGAAAGGCAGAGGAAAGTGAGACTTGACTTTCCAACCACCACCACCTCAGTGGAGCCCACATCAAGACGCTGACGCAGACCATCACTTGCCAATGATGCCCTGGGCACTGAGTACCAACACTTTCCTTTAACCCTTCCAGAGAATGAATGGTGTCTGATCGTTGCTTTTCCATGGCCCTTTCCTGTGGCTGGAAAATGTGACTTCTGTTCAACCTTTGCTTTAATACCTACTGCCTAGTACTCAACTCATACCTCCAACATGGAAGTAGCCAAGCTATATAAGCAGCACAGGCAGGAACCCATGTCATTGCCTCATGTCCTGAGCTGCATGAGGGGTGTCTGCTGGTGGCTAATGGCACCAACAGCCACTTGCTTCAGTGAAACGTCCACTCCAACTGCCAATCACGAGGACCTTCAGTGTGCCCCACCCTGACCATCCCCAGGGATCCAAGAAATATCAGCAGTGAAGGAATCTTGAAGGCCACTGAAGGAAATGGCCTCAAGGTTCCCTGAGTTAGGGCCTGACCACCACCTTCTTGGAGCCTCCACACCTGGCTGTGAAGGTGCCAGAGGTCGTCAAAGGATGGCCATCAGTTCTCATGGCCCCACTCACTCCGAACGGCATGGGGACAAAGGAAATAGAAAGGGGGTTTTACTGGTAAAGGGATTCCCCTAGGAAGTTTCGATGATCCAGAAAACAAACCAAATTTGATTCTAATTGCTGCTCAGATACAAGTGAAAGTACTTGTGACGTAATGTTACTCTTGTGTAAAGAATTTATAACTTCGTTAATATGAGTCTGAAACTCTCTAGCTTACCTTCTTCCCTCTCCCCACAAAAACAACTGCTTTTATAAAGCCTTTTTCGGGAACACGGTTCCCTAGGATGCAATTTGGGCCCTAGAGGAGAAGGGGCAGTACCTTAAAGGAATACTTGCGACTTATGCGGTCCTCAGGGCCCACAGGCGATATCACGTAGCTGGGCAGAGGGATGCTCCCAAGAACCACTTCTTCTCGGCTGTCTTTGAATGGAAAAACACATCAGAATGACCCTCTGTGGCACCTTCCTTGGGCTGGTCCATCCCACTGCCCTAGTTCAGGGCTCCTTATCTCTCCCCAGCACGACTGCATTCACTGATGGTCCATTCAGCTGCTCTCCGGGGACCTCTGTGCTAATGGTGGAACTGCACAGGTGAATCAGACAGGGCCCTCTCCCCAAGGGCTGAAACAGATGTGTAAACATGCTCAACTCAACCTAACTCCTGCAACGCAGCAAACCAGATCCTGTTTAGCTCAGTAAATGGCACTTCCAGTGCCGGGACTCATAAATATGTCACCAATCCCCCATATATGTGAAAGTGAAGTCTTTGGCAGGTCCACAGGTTAATTAGCTCGATCACTGACTCTGAGAAGACCACCCTTTGCATCACCTCACCCCCACCCCCACCCCCTGACACAAAGAGCCCTTGTGGCTCAAGCCCCTGCTCACCTTTATAGTAAAACAAGCAATAATCAGCAAGCACGAACCACCTCCTCTTCCACAGCCTCATCCCAGAGCTGTCCTGCAAAGCAAAGCAAAGCACTCGATGCAATGACTGAGTACACTGCTCCCCGCCCCAGTCATGACTTGCCCGTATTCACTCCCTCTTTCAGGAGATTAATGAACTTGTATTGCATGGACATTCGTTCACTAGGAAATTAAAATTTAGATTCGATGATAGTTGATTCCCAGGAAGTTCCCCCCAACCCTGCAACCCCTGGAAACAGATTAATGTATTATAAACACCCTTCTTTTAGAAAGGAACATCTGGATTCAGAAATACAGTTCTTCCTTTAAGAATGAAATTAGTTTTTGAGAAAGTTTTGTTTAATCAAATGCTATGCTGTAAAACGCCTTCAACTTATGCTGATTAGAAAACTGATTTTCATAGTATGAAACAAGGAGTTTAAGTTAGCTAATTAATCAATGAGGCAACATTCTCATATGATTAAGTTCAGTTCTCTACTATAAGAGACTGATTTTGTTTTTACCATAAGAGACCGTATTCTCCTTCCATTCAATGTAAAATGACTTGGATTTTCTTGCTATCAAATTATGTCATAATAAGAATCTGTCTTTACTCTTCTAAAATGTAAATCATTATATTTATTAAAAACATTCTAGGTGAATGTGAAAATTTTTAGAAAGACATGGTCACAATAGAAAAAAAACAGTAATGTTTTAAGGTCAGTGATCTCCCAAACCTAGGAAAATCTGAGAGCATTTTTTAACTGTTAAAATTGTCTTCCTTTTGTAGTTTTTGACTGGCTTATATTTAAAAGAAAAAAATTCACAGTTTCTACAGCTAACAACCACGTGAAGTTTGTCCATTCTCCACTTACTAAAGTGCTAAAAACAAAGGTACTTTCCTGAGTTCACACATTTCTTGGTTTTCTCTTCTGCGCTGACCAGATACCCTCTGAGCATAGGATAGTAGCGTTGTTGGGAAAACTCCTCTCCATCCTTCTGTACCTGCTTCAAATGTCACTTCCTCTTGGAAGCCTTTCAGGACTCCCCCAAGCTCAGTTACATTCCCTCTGCCGTGTGTCCACAGCATGCCGCATGGGGGCCTGGGCTAGGGGGCGGGGTCATCTACAATTTCTTCCCTTCCCTTCACCTTGCAAAGGAGCACCTTTTTGTTTAATGGACACAGAGACACAAATGGAAAAGGCCAAGGGTTAAAGTACTCAGGGGAGAAAAGAGATGGGCAGAGCAAGAACAGAGCTGTGAGGGAAGGGGCACCACGAGGACAGGGTGGTGGCAGAGGAGAGTCTGACAGGGAGGCTGGGGGGCTGTGGGAGTTGCCCCCCACAGGGACCAGAACGGGGTGGGGGAGACTTCAAAGAGGCTTTCAGGGATTTCTTCTGTGCGGGGTGCAGTGTAATGCCTCCTGTCTTCCCATAAACCCTAAGTAAAAATTTACATCGTTGCTTTTGGAATTTGATTTGTGGGTTTTTTTGGATACGATATGTGACAGACTGTGCTGGGTACTGATATGACATGTGAGACATGTGTCCCTCTGCCCCTTCCGCAGACCACCAGCTCCACGAGGGCAGGAACTGTGTGCTATTCCTCTCCTTATACTTGCTGTGAGAGCGCTTACAACATGGCAGGCACCTGATGAATGAAGCGGCAGACAGCAAGGCAGGATGCTCACGGCCTGTCCGTGGCCAGGGGACCAGAGAACGACAGTGGTTGGTGAGGACAGAGACGAAGAACGGCCTCGGGGGAGCCAGAGCTGACGGGCCTTTCGGCCTGGATGGGTGTGGGAGAAGCAGGAGTTGGGGATGGCGCTGAGGTTTCCGGCCTGAGCACCCGGGAGAAGGGTGGGATCATCACCAAGATCCAGAAAAGCAATTTGGGGGGAAGAGGTAAAGGGCGAGGAGACGATGGGCTGAGTTTGGCCACTTTGGACCCTGAGGTGCTTGGGAGGTAAATATGTGTGCTAGACTGGGCAAGAGGAAAAATGGGATTTTTTTAGCCATAATGGGACAAAGACTCTAACTTCAAGAAGGGAAGTGCGGGCAGTAAGGCTGGACTCTCGTTGGCCGCTGCCCAACCACGAGCGCCTGGGTCCCAGAGCTGCAAGTAGCACCAGGGGCCAAAGTGGTCACATGGGTTTGGGGAGGGAAGCAGTAGCCACTGAGTGGACAGTCCACTCATAAAAATGAACAGCAAATCGCTCTGCATGGTAGGCAAAATCTACCTGCTCCAGGCAAGCCCAGCAATAGAACACTTATTATGAGCTTCCCCCCAGCTCCCAGGGAGGAAAGAAATCAGCAAGAGCAACCTCCTCCTGCCCACCCTCCCTCCTCAGCCCCCTCACCTGCTTGTGCAGCCAGCCCCTCACCACCACCGGAACATTGGGGTTCCTCCGAATGGCCTGGTCCCTCTTCCCGAAGCTGTGCACTTTATTGCTGGACTTGATGATCTAGGGAAGGGCAGACCTGAACGCTAGCAGCAGAGAGGATTTAGGGAGGCACAAAAAAAGCACTTGTGTGATGGATGGGCTGTCGGCTCCCTCTGCCTTCTTATTCTACCCGGCAGTGCCCTTTGATCAAAAGAACAGCCAGGGGACCTGGGACCGGCACGCACATGGCCACTGCATTCTAATTAAAGGGGAAGTCAAGACCTGGCAAGCTTCCCATCTGGGCCACAGACAAGAAAAATTTAAAGGGATATTTCAATCGACTGTCACCAGCAGCTGCTGGCCCCAATATGCCCTAAGCCAGGCTTTCTGGAACACAGCCACATTGTGGCCACAGACCTTGCTAATTACCAGACATTTACCCCTCCTGGCTGGGCTGGGTCCTCAGCCCTCTCCCACTGCAGTGCTGCTCCTTTCTCCGCTCCCCAGTCCGTGCTCCCGCATCTTGGCTACAGAAACCTCTAGGCCCCTTTTGAGAGCACTTTTCCTCGGGCCCACCTGACACAAACTCCTCCAGACTGCCTCCCACATATGTCACCCCCCTGAGACACGCTGGGAAACGAAGAATGTGTCCCAGGACCTAGATGTCAGTCCTGTGTCTGTCAGCAGCCACCTGTTTTCTCGGACAAGTGGCACCCCCCCAACTGGCCTCAGTTTCCTGATCTGTCATTGTGGGGGGAATACTTCTCCTATGTCTCCTTCACAAAACTAGGGTGCAAGGCAAATGGGCTTCTGAGGACAAAAGGCTTTGGCAAATACAAGAGAGGGGACAGAAGGAGCGAGTGGCCAGGAGCTCACCCTGGGGCCAGGCCTGGCCTCCACGGTGGAGGTGGTCCCAGTTGTGGACGTTTCGCTGACCATGCTGGACGGTCTTTGGTTTCTCTCTTGCTTCGACATATGTGGATTTGGCCTGTGGGGAGACAGGAAAAGCGAGTGACCAAGTGCCAGACTGCAGTAGGAAGCGGAATCTGAGATTTAGCCCTAGTTGGAACTGGTTGATGGGCCTTGGACAACCTAGGACCAACCTTTTGGAGACCACCTGGCTCCAGGTAGCAGCCTGAGGTCCATGGCGCCCAGCCAACCCATGTGTTTCAGGGAATCAAGGGGATGAGAGGTGGGCACATCCCTGCAGCCTGACACCACACAGCAGGGTCAGGCAAGGAGCCCTGCCTGCTGCCCTAATGTCCCCACATTTACTCTCTTACTCACATGTCCGTGGCTACTGCCCCATCAGATGGGCACACGTAGTCACACACCACTCCTCACAGCAAGAGCAACCCGTGCCCCTTACACACACACATACACACACACACACAAACACCCCTCCATTTTCCTGGCTCCCAAAAGCAGCTGTTTATAATTAGCAACAAGAAATCACTTGTGCACACATCCACACCCCCAGATACACACAGAGAATCACTTACACAAATGCCAGTAGGGCTTGCCTCCCAAAATAAACTACTCAACAAAGAGTCCTATTCTGGGAACACTCCATTTGCCCCAAAATGGAGCCATCGGAGATATTAACCCCTTGTGCCATGCCGGGAGAGCAGGAACAAATAAAGCATGCCTGGGTCCCCCATGAGGATCCCCGGGGTGCATCCCCATCAGCAGCATCCAGTGACAGTGTGCTGCTCACTCAAGAAGCTCCACTCGCCCTGGGAGGGCCAGCCCTTCGGAAATATCTCAGTCCAACATGTGGAGACACCATAAAGAACCTTTCTCACCTGCCTCCACAGAGCCCCAGGATTTGCCAGAGTGCCCCAAAGCAGCATGGTGGCAAATGCACCCACACAGATTCAGTCCTGTCCTTGAGTAGCTCAGGCTGATCCCCAGATGCTTCTAACTAACTCCAGGAGCAGCCAGCCTCCCTTGCAGCGGGAGCCCCAGTGGCTGGGTTTTGTCTCCTGCTCTGACAGGCCATAGGGTCCAGGCGGCTGCATAAACTGAGGCTCTCTGCCCGAGAAGTGGAGACAATCTGACCTGGAGACCTGGGCCAGGACCCTGCGGAGACGGCGACAGAGGGTCCAGGCAGGACACGGCAGAGGACGAAGCGCTCTCTGATGGTCTTTCTGCAGCCTCACTTTTACAGAGGTGCTTCGAGGGAAAATCCTAGTTCCCACCTTGGAGATAAAACATGCTGCTTCCTTGAAAAAACACTGCTGCTCCAAGTATAAGGGATCCTTCCCACACCCCAAGCCAGAGCCCTGATACCCTGCACCATTAAGCAGCTCTTCACAGAAGGACCACTGCAGTGGGCATCAGCTTTCCAGCACTGGGTCCTGCTGGAGGCTTGGCAGCTGGAGGTGCAAGTCCCTTCAGGCAGGAGGATCACTGGCTCCTTATCAGCTCAGGCACTCAGTCTAGATTCCCCACCTCCCGCTTCCATCCCAGCCAGACTTGTGTTGCCGCTCCCCACTCAGAGCATGTCACCGAGCTCCTGGCGGGCAGAAGCTGGGTGCAGCTGAGAGCGTTGCCAGCCAGGGGTGGGAGGGGGCTCTGAGAGGCCGCCTTGTCCAGGCCCTGCCTCCGGGAAGAACTATGTCCCAGAGGCCTCCCAGGAACCGGGTCTTGCCTGACTTTTCAGATTTCCCAGGCATGAGACAAGGAAGGTGAACTCTCCGTCACCTCAGTTGCAGCAGCTGTGTCTCTACGCCAAAATTCAGGACTTGAAGTACAACAATAAAAAAGGTTGGTTTGGGATTTTATCAAGCTTCATTTGCTCCTATTTAAGACTTACATAAGGCCTATATAGAATACTTGAGAAATATAAGAAAAAAGCTGGAAAAAAATCACCATATCCGCAATACTCAAAGGGAAATCATTTTTAACAGTTTTGGCATATTTACCTTCATTCTTTTTTACACGCTGGGGCTTTTTTGGGGGGGCAGGAAGAACTTTTTTGTTTTTATATCATTGTGACCATACTGTGTTTATGATTTTGCATCTTGATTTTTTAAATATTTACTATAAATATTTTCTCTTTTAAACTCATCTACATCATTTGAAATGACTGCGCCAGGCCCCCTCAACTAGGCGAGCCATCCCTCCTCTGTGGGACAGAGCAAAGATGATCAGGGTCTGTGACCGGCCCAGGGGCTCCAGGACAGACGGCCACCTTTGCCATTTCAGCACCTTCCAGTCTTGACCTCCAACTTTAATCCTCCCCCTGCATTCTAACCCCTCTCCCCTCCCCAACTTCTAGCTTCTGAAATGCTGGCTGGCCACAGAGCTCCCAGGCCAACAGGACAAGAGAAAAGCTGCCTGCCCTGCAGCATTGGGTGAATGAGGAAAGAGGGTTCAACTGCCACCTCGGGATCCAGCTGTGAACATACTTCAGCGGGAGAAGGACGGAGGTGGCCCCAACACTGAACGTCAGTGAGGGACAGTACGTGGCAGAGGGGAGGAAGCAGCAGCACATGAAGACAACTCCATTCTTCATGACCAGAGACCTCTGCTAACCCACACCCAGAGAAAGCCAGCTTACTAGGAAATAGGACTGATGTCCGAACTAAATCTGTCCACAGGGAGGGGACCGTGCTGTCTCTACAAACAAGGAGCGTTATCTTCATCAGGGCTTCCAATGGCAGGGACAGCTCCCAGATGAAGAAGCCACAGACTCAGTCATTACCTGGCAGCCCCTCGCCCAGCTGTCTAATAGGACAAGACACACGCGGCAGCCCACTCAGGCAGGTGACAAGCTCTGTCCTCAGAGGGCATTCCTCTGAATCTCCTCAATGTGGGTCATGACCTCATAGGTCCTCCATGGGCAAATATGACTTCTGGAAATAACTAGACATTACCCAGAATTACAAGTCACACACACACACACACACACACACACACACACACACGCACACGCACACGCACACACACACACGCACACGCACACACACCAGGGGTGGTCATGCTTGGGACATCATTCAGTATCCAAAAGTGAGAATGTAAAAAGAAGTCTCAAAAACAATTTTCTCACTTAGCTGAAAAACTGGCTCAGATGCACACTTCTGGAGGTTGTTTGCCAGGTTTCTGAACATGCTATGGACAGCAGACGCCCCATGTCATCAAATAAAATCTATTAAATTAAAATCCTGTTTGCCAGGTTTCGGTGCTATCTAGATTCCCAAAGTACAGTGGGATGATTTGAACAAAGGCTTTTCTTTCCTTGACTTGGGCTCGTGAATGCTGCTGATTTTCCTGGAAGGGTGTGGGCTGCAGCCTGAAACAGTGAGCTGGAGTTTTAATTCAATTGCCTCCCATCAGAAAGGAGCAAACGAAGTTAGGACCAGACAAGAATCAGCCTGGAGAAGCTCCATAGGAAATGACTTCACGCTTCTCTGGACCTCCTCAGGGTTGTGTCAGGTGAGCCTGGGCAGGAAGCTACTTTCTCCATCCCTCACATGCTCCATCTATAAAAGGAGCTGCTTCTGCTTCCTGCATATCTGGGAGCAAATGCACATAACACAGACAGAGTAGGAAAGGGAGGTTAGAATTCAGAAGCCATTTTTTTCCTGTTGGGTCTGAATGTAGGTGAGTGTGTTTAATGGGTCCTCAGCGGCCTCTCAGCCAACATCGAGAATGGGGGCAGACTGAAGTGGAACCCCAGCAAGACCTTCCCCTGCCCTACTGCCATCACCATAGGTAGGTCACCAAGTCAAGTGTCACCAACCCTCAGGGACAGGTACACAAGATCAAGCAAGCAGAGGGACTGGGCTGTACTTGTCCAGCACCTACTTTGTGCCAGGCACTTTGCCTGCATTGTCTCACTTAACCCTGCAAAGCCAGTTTTTTTTTTCTATCTCCATTTTATACACAAGGAAACTGAGGCTCAGAGAGATGAACGACCAGCCCAAAACAGAAGCTGGACTCCCAAGCCCTGAGCTCCTCCACAGAGACACCGTCCCATGGCAAGTCCCCAAGTCTGACAGAGCAGCCTTTGCCCTTCTCAGCCCGAGACTAACGCCCAAACCCAGAGGGACCCGGGGTGCTAGAAAGACTGTGAGGCCAGAATAACTGGGTCTCCACAAAGCTCTGCAACCTACCACCCCCTCCACAACTCACACCACTTCTCTAGGTCTCCGTTCCCACTACTACGACACGGGTGAAAACTCCTCCCACTCACAAGGTGGCTGTGTGCATGGAAACGACACTCGGGAAATCGTGCAGCACTGCACTAAAGGAGAAGCAGTCTGCGGCTGCCACCAATGCAGACCCCAGAATTTAAATCGAAGGTACACCTTATTTTTGTTTCCAAGGCATTTCTCTCTAGAAAGCCCAAGATGCCAAACAATTTCTAAAACAACAACCATTTCCTATAAACACCACTATAAACACTTTATCTGGCGCCTCTTTGAAGTGTATCAACCCTGTGGCTGGGGGACTGGGGTCCTGTCCTCTCCCCAGGGTAATAATACTGTCAGGTCTTCAAGGCTACTCAAGGCTACTGAGAGGAGGTTAGAAAGCTATGGGGAATCGGGAATCTCTTATTGAGAAGGCAGATGAGATGAGACCTATATCCCATTAATTCCTGGAAAAATAGGCCCCCAAATTCATGCTCTGTCCTCAAGGATCCTACACAGAGAACTCAGCTAAAATTATTGCTGTGAAAGGAGGAACGTTCATAAACAACCAGCAAATTTTTTAAGGCACGACACCCACCACCTAAGGGGTATGGAAAACCAATGCACAAGGGAAAAAGCAAGAATAAAAGGACGTTCTTGTCCCAAACAGGCAGACACCTCCACACTCCCGCTTCCCAGAGAAAGAGACACACAGACAGACCGCCGACGCTCCCTATTCACTCCCCACACCCCGGGGGAGGCCGTCTGACACGGGTGTTCATTCAGCAACTCTGGCCTCATTACTCAACTGTGGCTTTCTGTGTTCTTCCCCCTTCCCCCACAATCCTCT